CCCTCAGCGCTGGCTCAGCCCGACTCTTCAACCCCTCCAGGGATCCCGGGGACTCCCCCCTGCCCTGGGCAGCCCATTCCAACGCCCAACAGCCCCTTCTGCACAGAAATCCTTCCTCAGAGCCAGCCTGACCCTGCCCTGGGCAGCTTGAGGCCATTCCCTCGGGGCCTGGCGCTGGCTCCTTGGCTCCAGAGACTCATCCCCCCTCTCTGCCCCCTCCTGGCAGGGAGTTGCAGAGGGCCAGGAGGTCTCCCCTCAGCCTCCTCTTCCCCAGACTGAACCCCCCCAGTTCCCCCAGCCGCTCCCCAGCAGACCTGTGCTCCAGACCCTGCCCCAGCTCCGTTGCCCTTCTCTGGCCACGCTCGAGTCATTCAATGGCCTTTTTGGGGTGAGGGGTCCAAAACTGAACCCAGGAATCGAGGGGCAGCCTCCCCAGTGCCGAGCCCAGGGCTCAGATCCCTCCCCTGTCCCTGCTGGCCATCTGCTGCATTTTTGCATGGTTTTGGAACTTCTGTGAATTTCTAAGAGCACCAGATACAGCTTTATGTGGTTATTCCAGTTCTACAGCCTATTAGCATCGTCAAGATAAAAATGCTGATCCATACATGCTGTTTCCTACACATTTTCATGATTATTTTTGAACAGCGTGAAAATGTTAACTGGTTTTGAGAAATTGCGCATTTTATTCCTGAAAAAAACATTAATGGCATGATTTAAATACACAGTACAGCCTGTTCAGTGTTGGGCTTGAATGACAGGACACTTCAACCCATTTTAAATCAAAAAATTCAGGTTCAACTTGCTTTGTCCAGCTGCCCCTGCAAGCACTCTGATACCATGGTAGCCCCAGCAAGATGCTGGTCTTGGTTGGGTTGGAAGGACAAAAAGCCTCAGTGCTGACACAGTTGCCACTTTTATAGTTACATGGAAAGGAAAGTGTCTAAAAGGTTTTATGGAGAATTGGTGTTTCTGAAGTCAGCAGAAGCAGTTATATTTCAAATCAGCAGCTATAGGGAAATGCATTAAGAAAAGTGAACAGAAAAAGCAGCAGCACTAATGGGCATTTCTAGGAGTGCCACGTATTCATTATGACCACAGAAGCCTGTACTTCTACAGGAAAAACAACATTTTACATAGGCTCTCATGCAAATAAAGGGATTTCCCACCCCCCATTTTGGTCATAAAGCTTAGTTTTTTATTTGACAGTCTTGAGAACTGTGTTCCTTTAACTATCTTATTTCATATCAGCATAGCTGAGCATTTCTGAGCATACTTGTCTGCACCATCTCTACTTATTCTTCCAAAAGCGGCACTTATTTCCTCTTTTGATCTGTCTTTGCTATGTTTGAAATGCTTTATGTGCAGCAGATGGGTACCAGTATTGTCTGCATGCTCCCTATATGGCCTCTCCAAGATGAGCAGATAAACAAGCAGCAATTCATTCTTCAGTTTGGTAGCAAAGTTGAGGTCTTTGAGCCCCCAGGCTATCTTGGGGAATCTAAAGATAAATCATCCTCTACTTTCCCTCCTAGTTTCTCCAAAATCTTAAAGGGAAGCTGCTCACAGAGATCCCTGAGGACAGAGCTTGCTGTCTCGTGTTTTGAATTGACAACAGGCTGGGTCCACATCTTGAAGCACTGATTATAAAAAAAACCTCAAAAACCACAAAACAATGGAGTGCTTCCAGGGCATGTTTCTGGTAGCAGATGCAGTCAGGCTGGTGTAGCCAGGACAGTTATTTTATCGGCACTTCTGCATTCAGAGCTTACAGTGGAGGACATTTATATGATTGCAAGCAAACAGTGCAAAAAAAATATCTATTTATAAAGTCCAAGAAAAATACAAGATAGGTGCTGCTGGTTTTTATCAGAAAGGATGAGCATGTACTTCCTAATGTCCTGCACAACAGGAAGGGCATAATTTTATCTGAACAAGGGAGAAGGCAGCTTTGCCTTGCAGTGTTAAGTGTCCTCAGAGTGCTTCCAAAACATAAGATCCCATTTATACTTGCTGCAGAAGTCAGTTAATTGCTTACTGAAATTGTTATATGAAACTTTTTTTTTTTTAAAACTAAAACAGAAGTAAATGTTTATGGTGCCTTCTTGAGAAGAGCCTTATAGGCTTCCACCTGGAATTTATTTTTTATTGCTACTCCCATTGTTCGTGTAGTTTTACACTGGCAGATTTTACAGTGTTAGGATTTTACTTGAGGAAACTCAGTTTGCTGAGATTCACAATAGACCTTGTACCTATTAAAACTAAAGTTTAAAAATTCACTTGCAATTATCAAAATGCTCCATGTGCACAGCAATAGAAAAGGGCACACAGGTCCAAAGCTGTGAAAGCAGCTGGAAGAGGCACTAAACCAGCCAGCAGCACAAGCATAATCATACAGTCATTCATAAAACAAAACATATTTTGTGATGAAGTTGTTGATTGTATCAGGAATAGCAAACCACCTTAATAAACAGCCTCCTCTGTACAGAAGAACATGCATCACACAATAGATATTTTTACACAGGTATCATTCAGTCTACCACAACGTGAAAACTCTTCTGTGTACACAAACCTTGACGTTCTCGGTTCCTCCACAAGCACACAGACTGAAGCATGTATGGACTGCAGAATCAGACCATGGTCAGAGCTTAAGGTAAAAAGGTGGCTAAAAATGGTATTTCTGCTAAACTTTAGTGGCTGAAGCTGTGAGGATACAGTCCAAACACTTGTGATTTAAACAAAAACAGACCTAGACTTTTTTTTCTTCCCAAGTCTGCAATAGTGAACTCAAGAGCACAATACCTCTGCAAGCTTTATGTGGAAAAACATAACAATGATAGAGAAACCAAACAACAACATTTACTTCTAAATATATAACCCATGAAAAAGAGGCACAAGCTGAAGAGACTCAAAAAAAAAAACCCCATAAATGTTACCTTGAGCTTCTGCAATATTTACATTATTCCTATCTTCATTATCCAAGACAGGATCTTCCTAGATTAAGAAAAAGGTCTATCACTTACTGCAGACAAATAAGGAAGAGGGTTTATAGTCAGATGCTTAGGGCCAGAGCTTATTAGATGGATTCTCAGTGGAACAAACTGCACTGCAATAACTGCATTACTTAACTGTTAGTGCAAGCACACATTTAATTCAACTACCAAGAAAAATGTCTGTAAAAAAATGCTAAAATTGGAACAATAACTAGTGAGAGAATACCATCATGCATCAATTACTGCCTTCCTATTGCCTATGAAACAGCAGTTTGGAGGCATATGCAGATTTAGAGAGCCTCAACTGACCCCAGAAATGTATGCCTCCAACTGCTCGAGGCCAAGCACAGTCCCAAGAGCCACCTCAGGTGCTCTCGCATCCGCAGCAGGATGCACGGGCCTGTCACACACTCATGCCTTCAGCAAGCTTCACTTTGGGCTTTTTTCTAGGCAAATCTCCTCAGGAAAAAATCCCAAGGCAGAGCTGAGTTTAACTTTAGCTGTGGCATTCCAAGCTGTATGCATACTGCTGCTGCACAAGAGGATCCCAGAGCAAATTTATGGCCAGTCAGTACTGGCTGGCCGCAGCAGCTCGCTTAGGACTGGTGTGTGTGAGAGCTCCCTGGGAGGTTTCACCCGTGTGTGGAGCTGAACAAAGCACTGCTCCTCTCCAGTCTCAGAGACACGAGTGCCAGCGCTGCGGCTGCGGACAGGCATTGTGCTGATGCCCTTGGTCAGTACTGCTGGAACAGTGACAGACTGCTAACCCGAGCAGGAAAATGAAAGCAAAAATGTCCTGAAGACATATTGTCTTGCTTAAATGTATCTGGAAACACAGTTATTTTATTAATGCTACAGTAAGACATTCAGTAAAAGAATTAATGGCCCTTTTCTAGATTATAAATCACAAAAAATGTCAACAGGCCACACAACATTTGTGCTCTTACATTCACGTCCTGGTTCTCTTCTTCTGGATCATCTCTGTCCACTCGGAGCACCTGGAGAGGCATATTTGTCTGTCCATGCTTTAGGATGCTTTTATCAACATTTTCCATTCGTTGTTTTTCAGTTGTAACTTTCACTTTCAGCATATGAAAAGGTGTTGGCACTTCACCCACATTCAGATACAGAGGCTCCCCCTCAAATATCATCCCCTCACATTCGCCCTCCTTAAAACCAGGAGGTTGGTAGTCAGACGGAGTAACTGCAGAAAAGAATTCATTAAATGTGTTAGAATAAAACACGTTCTTGTAAAATTAATCTTAACTTGTGCAGCAAAAAGATACTCTTCCCCTTTAAATACAAAGAGCTATTTAAAAAAATTGTGTGGGGAGGGGAATAATCAATATTCAATTTGTATTCAGATTAAGTTCTTCCCCTATACAAGTGGCAAAACTCAATTAAAGGTATTTGAAACAGTTTATGCATGCAAAGAGACAAACTAGAACCTCTGATTTTTCGTTATAAAGCAATAATACATTCTGAAAGCAGAGCTAGACATTTAAATAGTCATCCAAACCAGAATTAGTCTGGCAAAGATGTTACATCCTAACATACTGAGGGAAACTCAATTTGTTGAAAACACACTGAAATCCTTGCTCCAATGAAGTTAATGACAAGATTATGTTCTTACAGTGAGATCAAATCCATCCCCCTTGGATTTTAGAAATTATTGTGAGAAACAGACAGAGGCAAACCACCATCATTTAACAAGTCTCAGCAGCCTTAAAGATTATATATGAAAATATTTCTTTGAATTGTTTTCCAGTGTCTGAACACAGTTGATAAATCAAGGTAATATGGAAATACTACCTTCATCATAATAAAACAGCTTCATAGTCAGGCAAACATCATTTGGTAATGGACTGAGGTTTTGCATCAGCACATAAATCTTGCGAATGAGGAGGATACTTGCTTTCTTGGTGTCTGCACAGGTGATTGTGGAATCATTCCTTTTATCCTTACTAAAAAATGGACAAAGCATTCAGGGTTTTTCTTTATATATACAGAGTAAGCTGTTTCTAGCATTAAGATACAGGACTGTTTAACAGACTCTACGAAGGCCACAAGCAGACATCACATTTACTGCCTAAGGGCTGTGATTACAAGCACTGCAATTCCTGGAACTAAGTGACCTTGTGTTCTCTGCCTCTGGGAAGATCAAACGCCCAGCCAGGGACATCATGAAAGTGTTATGGTTCAGCAGCTGTGACTGACTACTGTATTTTACATGACACAATGCTTTAAAAATACCCAATCTGAAAGAAAGAAAAAAGCAGGTACTTTTGAAAGCCCCAATTGTGCAAAGTCTTACATATTTCCTTTCCCTTAAATAAAACAAGTAACACTATCGACTTTGACAAGAAGGGTTACAAGAAAATGTGTGCCTAAGTGACTCTTGGCACTCAGCTGTGACATTTCCATGCTTCTGTTCTGTGACCAGCTGACCCAAATCCTACCCTACTGCCACTAAAAGTGCTCTCCCTCCACTCCCCTGCTCCTCACAGCCACACAGCTTAGAGGCACCTGAGGACCTGAAGAGCAGCACAAGGCAAACAACTGTCAGCTATTTCATTGGGTAACCCTTGTCTTTTGGAAGCACACCCTTAACTGGGATGGTTTCAAACATCTCACCCCTCTGCAGATGGTCATCTCCTTCCCAGGGTGTCAGAGAAGCAGGCTCATGCCTTGTATTTTCAAATTCATCTGGCATGAATTTATGCTAATACACTAAGGCAACCTGGTGTGGGCGAGTCACATCCCTCTCCACCAGTGTTTTTCACATGACTTACAATCTGTCAGAGGTAACTCATCTCAGCCCAAGGGATCCAGGCCTTTTTTTTTTTTTTTTTTTCTTTTTTCATTTAAAAAGCATTTTATGCAGGAGGAAAGCTGATAAAAGTTTGTTAGGTATGAACTTGCTGTATTTCCATTACTGGTCTTGAAATAAACCATTTCCTTGCAGTTGTGACTGCCCAATAAATCCCTGCGATGGAAGAAGGCTCAGTGGAGACAGGCAAAGGGTGATGTGTCCATGAAGCTCAGGGAATAATGTGGGGTGTCACTGACCACAGCTGTTGCTGACTTTATCTCAACACACAAAGGACCTGAGCATGGTTTTCATTTTAGAGAAATAGCTGTGTCAGTGGAGGATCAGCAGGTGGCATAAATGTTTTCACTCAAGTTCAATAAAAGTGTGTGAATTTCTCCTTGCCAGACTAACATGGGGGAGTATGTGGCCAAGCCCAAAGAGTGTAAAACCTAAAAAACTAACAAAAGAACTCCAAAGAGAACAATGGGCTGGAGCTGGCTTCAGCCCACATATTCCTTCCCCATGACTGTGGATGCCCAGTGTCATGACAGTGAGCATATTATCCAGAGCAGCAATGGGAACCACACTGGTACCACGTTTGAACCGTGTATTGCAAGAGCTCCCATCTCTGCTAAATGAGAAATCCTGTGCAACATTATCTTCAGATAAATAAATCTGATATTAAACACATGAAATATCTTACAGAACCCGGCCAGAGTATTGGACTCTGACACTAAGAATCATCTTCTGAGTAGATATTTTAAAATATGAGCATAATATACAATGAATCATTTTGTCAGATTAAGTCTAAGCTAACAGTAAATGTTCATAAAATTAGTCTTAAGATCTAGAATTAAAAAAGGAAACACCAAACTGATAAAAATCCAATGTTTTTACATTCAGGTATATGCATTGACTGTAAAACCACAGAGCAGAATAAAGTCACTGTGACAGTACCTGCTGAAATCCAGGAGTGGCCCATTGTGGGTGTACTTGAATTTGAAGTGGTAACATTCTGTAATTGTCTGCAAACAAATCTGGTAATTATTAAACTATCAGCTGTCAATCAAACTACTACTGCTGCTACTTCTGTCTAGTGATCTACTGACCTTTCATTTAAAGAAAATAATGATAGCCCAACTCCTGTCTGATCCACCTACATGCACTGAACACAGCTTTCTAATGCTGTAACAACATTATTAATGTATGTAATTGTCATCAAATACAAAATGATCTACATTATTTTTCAGGAATCACCATGATATTTTGAAACATCAGCTTAAGTTTTTAGAATTAAACATTCATTCAGACTTTAATCACTATGAAAGTGTTGCACATACATAGCAGACATGGTGACACCCAGTGGTTAGTTAAAACATACCGTGTCTTTCACAAAGAAGTTCTATGAATTTCTTATGCAGAGTCAGGAAGATGCATCTTTATGGGCATTTAACTCTGCAACCACCCTTTGTACTGACCTGAAAATAACCTGGCACTAGATATTCAAAGGCAATTCATTACGTGGCAATTCTGACTGGCTCTAGTGATTCTTACATTTGATATTTTAAGATGGCCTTTTTTTTTTTTTCTTTTAATGGGCATTAATGTCAATGTTAAGTACTATTGCTTGTATATACATTTCACTATATGCATACTATCATTAGTCAACCAGTAAAATACTCTAGCAGATTTACCTGAGGATCCTCTGGATGGGTATAGACCTGTATTTTTAAAGTAAAGAGAGGAAACAGAGTAAGAACTGTACATATCTCTAAGCACCTACCTTTAAAAAAAAGCATGCCTTACCCTTACTTTTCAAAGATACTTACAGCTAGGACAATCATTCTCAGCTGTCAGAAACAAAATTAAAGAACGTTAAATGTATTCTATAGCCCATTTCTGCTTACCAAGCTGGCTTGTTTCTCTAGCTCTGGAAAGCAACATAGACAACTAAGGCCTGTTTGAAGAGAAACCTCTTTGTACACTTTTATCTAACACAGGACTTGCTCAACTGGCAGAAGACAATTCCTACATATCTCTGACTTTAAGTCTTTCTGTTTACAAACAATATTATTCTGAAATGTCTGTTCATCCCACATTGTAGCTAACTGTTTTACTAAAACTCAGCTATTCCCCAACAAAAATGTCCTGTAACTACGCCAGAAGCTGATAAATTTACATAAATGAATGTTTCAATACATTTAAAATAGCTAAACATTACTGAAAGACTTACATATTTCTTCTGCAAGGCATCATAGCATCCTAACATCCTGCAAAAATCAAATAACATTGTCCATCTACTACTAATTTCCATTTGCTTTGCTTCTGACTAAGTAAAATAGTCCTAAAAAATTACATGCTTGTGTTTAGTCTTATTATATTAGAGCAATAAATAATACTTTTTCCATTATTCTATCTTATTAGTAATGATACAATGACTATCATTGTAACACCAAATCATCCTAACTTCTTTGCACAATAAGTAAAAATATAATCTCTAAATCTCTACCACAGATCAATTAAGAAATTCCAGGTTACAGTAAAAGAAGCTTTTTTCTCCCCCTCATAGTGACAGCACCTGGACAAAGAGTGGATGCCTGATTTGACCTCTAACATCAGAGCTCAGACCTTACATCTCTGAACACCTCAACACTGACAGCAGCTGAAACCCCCTCTGCTGAATGCAGCACCATTTCCAATGCTTTACCTTGTAATACAACTGGTAAAAGTGTGAAAAGAATAAATATGGCCTTTATAGAGGTAACAAAAAGTAAGAATTAGGCAAAGGCCTTATATACTCTTCTCTAAAGGGCAAAGAGAACAGCCAGGAACAAATCTCACAGTTACTGTGAACAGAAAGAAAATCAAAATAAGTATCTCTAGTCCCAAGCAACACACTCAACTGTGTGAATGTACAAGCAGACAATTCTTTGCAGACAGAATTCTGCTTCTGAATACAAAGGCCAACAGTGCCACTTTCTTATACAAGTCTGAGAGCAAGATCTTTAAATTCAAGATGCAAAATGGTAACGCCATGTCTCCTCTTCAACTAGAGGGGAACTACTGGTTAGATTTTTGCATTTATGTGCACTGTTGAGCACTCATACACCCACAGAAACTAAATGTAATCACTCTGTACACAAAGATCTGTGCTCTACTAAGCACCAAGTTGTAAGCCTTTCTAGAGACACAACTGTACAAGTCAGCTATATCTCCACTGAAACAGATACATTTTGACTTCCCATTTAAAAAAATATGTCTAGATACTAAATACCATGCACTGAAAGTACTACCTGGGCAAGTGTTCCCTTGCAGCAAAGTGAACTTTTTCTCTGTATCTGCAAACAACCTGAAAGGTATCTTTCAGAACTGACATGCCATGGCAATGTTACCACAGTAATTAACATACCATTTCACCAGCTGAGTAGAGCCAGGACAGTTCTTGTCTTCCCTCAGAATTTTGACAGAGAGATCTCAAAAAAAGAATATACACGTCTGTTTACTTAGAGCAAAATGCAACTACATTGGTAAGAAAGCGAAGTTCATTCCCTACAAGTATATATCAAAAGCTGATTAAAATTAACATTATTGACAGGTATAGGCATGCTTTTAATCGCTGAGTTACCGTCACCACTATCTAACAAAATTCAGTGATTAATGCATTAGTGAAGTTTCCATTACAGTAATTGAAAATGGCTATTACCTTTAATTAAGGAGACCAAGTAGCTTTAAAAAATACTCAGTAACTTCTTAACAACCCTACAATAGATTTGTCAGACTTGAGAGGTGGGATGTGCAAACCTCATGAAGTTCAACAAGGCCAAGGGCAAGGTCCTGCTGGTGGCTCAGGGCAATCCCAAGCACAAACCCAGGCTTCCCTGGAAGAGTTCAAGGCCAGCTTGGATGGGGCTTTGGGCAACCTGGGCTAGTGGAAAGTGTCCCTGCCCCGGGCAGGGGTGTTGGAGCTAGATGATCTATAAGGGCCCTTCCAACCCAAACCATTCTATGATTTTGCAAAGAATCATAAAAACTGCCTGTTACCATCCATGTATCTTGTTCCGTAGGCACTTTCAGGAAAGATTCCTCTCAGATATGTAATGCAGGATACTGCTACTGCCAGGAGCCTCTTCACTAGCATCAGGGATTGCTGTTCAGTAGATATTTTGCTAGGAAATACAACTGCACTCTGAAAGTTAGAGCAAGAAAATAATTAATCTCCATCCACAACAAACCTGTACAGTCTACAAGCCAGTCCAATGTCTGCTTAACATTTTAATTGAAAGTATGACTTTTGTTATTTATAAAGTTCAACATATTCCTAATGCTTGCTGTTACTGGTTTTAGGACATAACCAACTCTTACCAAGTACACTACCACAAAGTTCAAACTATTTTGGTATTAAGCATCTTAAAAGATTGAATTACCCTATAATTTTCAAGTGAAAAAATATTACAGAGCACCTGAGTGCACTATTTCAGCTGAAATGAATTATTTTTCCAATTCCAATAACGTACTGTGCTGAAATACACAAGAAAATCATACCACACAATCCCTTTGCTTCTGAGCAGTTGCCATTTTGCAGATACTCTTCTCTCTGTTAATAAAACATCTGTATTAACACCTGTATGACCACTATTTGTAAGTGCACACAAGCCCAGACTGCAGCTACTTAGCTTTAAACCAGCTAACACTTCCTTCACAACCACTCTGTATCACTTCAAACCAAGCCTGTAATTTTAAGGCAAGAGCACAGTTCAACCAAGAATCACTAGTATTTGATTCTTGATTTTCATACCAGCAGAGACCTCCCCCAATGCTGCACTATGCTGTAATTAGAATATTGTGTGCTTGTTTATATGGAACATGAGCTTCTGAAAGCGATGCTCGAAGTGCTAACTGGCACCCAGCCTGGCAGATTTTCAAAAGACCCTAAGAAGAAGCTCTCCACGTTTAAGTCACCTCCAGCCAAAACTGAGCAATGCCTTTGCTGAACACCTGCAAGCTTGGATTGCTTTCCTTTGTAATTTAAATGAGCATTGGAGAAGGAGACCCCTCTCCAGCTATTCTTTCTGCTGAGTCATGTTTTCATTAAGCCTTTCACCCTCGGCACTGCAAGCCTTCCCCACCACCTGTAAAAATCCTGCCTACTCAAGGCATAGACGCCAACCACGAACTGGGGCAGAACTGAACAGCAAGAGCGGGAACCAAAACCCCGCGAGAGATGAGGAACCGGACAAACCCCTCGGGCTCGGGCCCGGGCCCAGCACAACCCGGCCCGCCTCACCCACAGCCACCCCGGCGCTCTGGAGGGGAAGGGGC